ACATCTATAAATCCGTAATCTAATCTATAAAATATAATGCATATATGAGCAATAATAGCACTATCGAACTAAAGGTATACTTGTTAGCTGTTTACATGACTCACTTTGCTCATTAGTTACTTTGTGAAGTCTTTTCACCTTATTTATTACATTCTGTTTAAAAGGTGCTTGGTTAAGAGTGCATTTCAACCATTTTGAATTATGTATGAGTTACCAGTTACCAGTTACCAGTTTCTTTGCATTCCGAAACGAACACACACACATAGGCACCCATGGCGTTCCCAACCAAAGGCCACATTCAGAACCTTATCTAATCATATTGCATACATATAGCCTCGGCGGAGGGTTCCGAGTTCCCTGCTCTCCATTTCTCGGCGGGTCCATTCCGATGGCCCCCGCTTCCCCCAAGTAATCATCTCGACAGCAGACACAATGGGATAACAAAAGTTTCGCCTCGTCTCTGTCCAGTTTGCTGGCTGCGTCTGCCTCACTCGCCACTTGGCCCATTTCGCTGACTTTCGGACGGGTAATTCACGTGGCACTAATTGAATTAGTTAACTGACTTTTGAGTTGAGTTGAGTCTTTATCCCTGTACTTGAAAACGAAACCGTTAGGCATGATGAACTTGCAATAGAATGCAAAGTGCGCAATTAACAAGTTGCCGGGAAAATAAAATATCGGCTAATAAGCAAACCCAGCCAAACCGAAGGGCCTGTTGGTTGAGAAGTCTGGCGTGTTCGAGGTTCTTGTTGTTGAACTTCTGCCTTCTGTCTGCTCGACAGCAGCTGTCTTGCACACCGACGAACATATGTTGGCAAACAAAAGGGAAGAGGGCCTTCCTTGATGTCAAATTTCAGTTTAGGGAATCGAATTTCGAACCAAATTTGGAGTACACGCAGACAAATTTCGGGTAGTTGGTACTTAAGAAGAGGAGAATACCTCTTCAGTGCGACCGATATGGTTTTCATTATTACAGAAAACTCACATCAACTGACTCTATAACGTAAATGCCCTCTATTGGCACTACGGTGGTACACCGCTAAGAAGCACAAGAGATACTCAGTGATCGCTAGCATGAAAAACACAGCTCACTAAAATGGCACAGCTACAGAAGCTAATCAATCGAGCAGCATGATCTTGATCAACCCATGATCTTAACCCATTAAATTCAATATAATCCAGTTCAACTTCTCTTTGGAGCTTTGCCACTTTATCTCACCTCGTTAGGAGGCGATTTGGTTGAATGCATTTACCACTTTTGTGGACAACTTTTCTGAAATAAGAGAGAAAAGCATAGAGATTGAAGATTAGGAGGAAAGGAATGGTAGTGTGGGCCAGAATCCCTGACCAGTAAACGCCATAAATTAAAGCCAACAAAAGCGGGCGCTGATTAGTTGGCCATCGAAGTCAGCCAGGTAAATAACAAAGTTTAACAGATTACGTCAGGCTCGAGTCGAAACGGCCAATAAAAAATTTGCAAATCAATGCAAATGAGGGGGCCAACAACGGGTGGCTGGGAAGGGGGGATTGGGAACAGCGGGGGGTTTTGTTAGGTGGCGGCACACAATACCGAAAACCGAATTAATTAAGCTAAGTGCGAAGGGGAGGGGAAAAGGGGGAGGGCCCGCGATTAGCAAAAGATGTCAGTGTGTCACAAGGATGCCGACAAACGAGTTTTTCCCTCTTTCTATTTTGAATATTAGACAAATTGAATTAGTTTTTTTTCGCAGCCAAAACAGGAAAAACGGGAAAGCTTAGCCAAATGCTGACAAAGAAGTCAAGATGCTCTGCCAAAGTCTTGAATACTAAGGCAAGCTGAAGTTATGGTTTCATTCAACAATGCAAGAATTTCTTTTCGTTTATTTGTTTAAAATATGAAAATGTTGTTTGCATGTCAAACAGGTTTGAACTTAATTACAACATTTAATTGAAACCATTTATTGAATTATGTACAAATGTGCAGAATATTCAGAATGTATCAAATACGTGCAATTTGTTGCTCTTTTGTACATTGTTGCTAATTGCAATTTATTACACAGCCTTTTCCGTTTCTGAAAAATCCACTTCAGTGATTTCATTCTATATATCGCACTTTAAATTTGCTCGGAAATCGGTTGATCTTAACTTTATTGATAAAACTCTTGCATTTGCCACACACTTTCTTTCTATTCATAAATCTTTCATTCCGTCCGTTTAATGAAAGTGCACTTGGAGCGAGATGCAACATGCAACACGGTCGGCGGCGGCGGCAACGGCAGCGGCAACAGTTGCTGCAACAAGTTGCACTTGCATGTGCCACTGTGCAGCGAGGCGTGCAGGTGGGAGCGAGAGGCAGCGCGGTGCGAGCGGGACGGCCAGCCAGCCAGATGCAGAGCCAGAATTTTAGTTTAATGATTTGTAACCGGTTTTCGAGGTGGCAACTCCCGTGAGACGGCGGCTGCTGCATTTGCTGCAGGGTTACCTCTGCCTCTGCCTCGCCCCTGCCCCCCTCTGCCCCGCCACCGCTTAATTACACTTCTTCCTACGAACGACTAAAAAAATAATAACAATAGCGGAAGTTATACAAAAGCCGCCGCACAACCGGCCATATAATACAGCAAAAAGAACACAAAAAGCAAACAAGGGTTGCGATAAGGCACAGAACTCGTCGACGAAGGGCGAGGTGGAGAAGGGGGCGGGGCGCTGTGACGAAAGCAGTCGCCGGATTCGAGTTTAACAGCATTTAACTGTTGTTTACACTCTTGATTGTCCTATGCCGTTCCAACTAGTGCAGAAAGAAGTCGCACACTCGCGTTACGTGGATTTTGCAACGGCATGTATAGTTCTTGATCTAGCCAGAAAATTAAGATACTTATTTCAAGTCAGCACCAATTCCGCATTGATAGATTCCCAATCTGGGGATTGGCATATTATTTTATCTTATGCTATCTATACATATATCTAGATTAACCTGCAGATCGCCAAGATCCCTAATCGATCAGCAAAGTGCGAGATATAACAACACCAATATTCTAGAAATTATACATAGTAACGAATGAAACGTGTAGTATTGCTTATGGCTTAGGCGAGCGCTAAAACGTATCGCTTACATGAAACTCAATGGGAACGTGTCGTTGCATACGATACCCAAATAATTAGTCGCCTGCCTTAAAATGCAAAGTCCGCGTGAAAATGAAACAGGCTTACCTCGAGTCGCGTCCGGGTGCTGAAAAAAGGCCTTTAGAGCCATTCAAGTCCAATTGCAAGGCGAGACTTTCCGTTTTTGTTAGTTGCTTTTATTTTTGATCGCAAACTTGCTTTCAATCGAATCGTATCGAATCGAGTCGAGTCGGATGGAAGCGCACAAAAGGCACCGACTGCAAATTGTAAGAAATTGTATTTATTATAGACATGGACATAGACATTGACTTGGCGCACACTTTCACGGCACAATTAATTGGCTAGATTTTTCCGCATTCCCCATCTTGGCCACTTCATCTTCGCTGCGCGGCAAACAGCTGGCCAAGTTGTTTGCACACATTTCGCACAGTGGAGTAGAAGAAACTTTCGCTCAAAACGGATGCAGCCAGAAAAAAGAGGATAGGTGGGTAGGTGGGTAGGTGGGTAGGTGGGGAGTTGGGAACTGGTTTCTTGCAACAGGAATTCTTTTTGCAATTTTATTTTTTGTTTTGCTACTTTGTGCCTGCTTAATTTTCCATCAATTTGCACATTTCCGCGCGGCTGCATTCGCGAATCTTATTTTATTTCATTTCATTTCTTTTCATTTTTACATTATTTCCTCTGGCGCCCGACTTATTTACGATTTGTTCTAATTTATTTTGTTGGCCCACAAACAAATAATTTGTTATTTTTTTATTTATCCCGCTCCGCACTTTCTTTCGGCATTTTGATGGCCCAAAAAGCGATCTGCTTTTCCTCCTCTCTTTCGCTATTTATAACAGAACTCACGCACACGCACACACAAGCACACACAACACACACACTGCGGCACAACCAGGTGAAAATTAGTGCAGAAATCTCCGCTACGTACGAAACATTTCGGTTAAAATGATTGCTTTGTTTAGCGAATTGCAATGTTCTCACGAAAGGCGCACAACTCGAAGAGTTGCATAGATATATCGATACATCAGGAACTCGGCTCGATCCCCAAAACAATTACATTTTTGTTGATGGCTTCCCAAATGCCGACAGTTCCACTCGCGTGCGCACTCAACACTCTAAAATATTTCCTAGCGGAAACCACATGCGCTACCGTTGGGGTTTACCGATATACTGATCTTGCCGCTGAGCGGCGAAACCGAACACAACGAATCCTCGTTAAAACTTAACGAAGCCTCTCTCGACGCGTATGTTAATGTTAACATACTTTTTTACAGCGTTTACTTGAATTTTTAACATGAAACTGAATTAACAGAAGACATCGGAATTGAAGACAGCTTGCTTATTGTTATTATAATTAAAATACTGCAATTAAAGTGCGAATATCAATTATTTTATTTATTATTGGAAATTGGCAGGATTTAGCATATGTAGCATGTAGTTATTGTGGTGGACTGGATTCTGGAACTTTTCATTTTCAATTTGATTCTATATAATTAAATGTTTAAATTAAAATTTTAAAAAAAATTTAGGATTCCATACCTTTGGATATGGGTATTTTATAGGCATTTATTGGCAAGTCCTAATTAGGGGTAATTCCGAATTTAATTAGTTAAATTAATTTGTTAAATTGCGAGACGTGAAGTTAGTAAACAAGAAAATATGAGCTTAATTCCCTTCATCTTTTGTTTAGTTGACTTAGATTGCTGAATTGTTGTTAATTAGTGCTTGCTGAGAGTCATATTTATATGTTTTTAATCTTTTTTATTATCTCCCAGTTATCTTGGGGAAAGGTCTGTACTGTTTGCTGTTTTTTATTCTTTATGTGAGTCAGCATTGCACAGTAAGTGTATATGTATCTTAAAAATTCAAGCATAGAGCTCCTGATGATCATCAGACTCATCCACTTGGAAATAGTAAGTACCACCATTTCAGATTTCTAGATTAGAATTCGGCTAAAGCTGAAATTGTTATTTCAGATCCCCAGGAATAAACAAAAGCTGTGACCTTTGAACGCCCGACAAAATCGCGTGGGAGGAAAAGGACTGGACTTTTTGGCAACAGAACCGCGGAAGGTTCTAAAATGAGGAGCCCCTTGTTTCTTCTTCGGTTTATTGTACAAAATATGATCGGCGTCTAAGAGCTTCATTCGCTAAGATTTTGCAAACAGAAGCCTTGTTGTGGTTTCTTTTCTATGTTTAAAATGTTGATAATAAATGTCTTCAACAGGAACACGTGTTGCGTCCTCGAAATTCGAGAGAGAAGTGAAAAGGAAAAGAAAAGTAGGCAGCCTTTCTAAAATACCACACGATAACTTTTATAAAGTCAGTATTTTAAAAAGTTAACAATGTCTGGCTTCCTATCGATTTCGAAGAAAATAACTAAGTGGAATTGGAATATAGATGAATTTACAAAAATCAACAACAAATTATCCGATGTTGGCCATTTATTTTGCTGCGATTGATTATACACATATGATTTAATAAAAGGTTGGCCGATGAATTTACTATTTATTTTCAAACAAACACCCAATTACCCTGTGTTGCCCCCTCAACTGAATTGACTAGGATCAGGGACATCCACTGGGACATCAGGGTGCATGCTCAAATTCTCATGCACCACAATTCCATAGGGATTTAGAGGTTGCAGGGGTCGAATCGGATTCGCCAAATCCATAGTACCGCGATCAAAAGGCTTCTCTTGTGGCTCTCCCTCACCGCACCATCACAGCTCGGAAGGATTCGCAAGTTCCAACACTACTTGACAGGATTTCTGCAATGTGCCTGTCCAGTTCACCTGCACAGATCGTAGGAATCATCAATTATCTCTAATATGGCTGTTCCCATTCTCACATGCACTACATGAAATCTTATTTAATGGTAGTAGATGGTATTACCATGGTAATGGTAGTATAACTCCAGATCTATTTGTTACATTAAATATGGCATCGAACGAGATTTATTAAGTACACTACACAAAACAATGACAATGAGTTAAGGTAATGAATGACAAACGCACGGCTTACTTCACTATTTGGCAATTTTCTAAATGAACAATACAATTACGAATACAAAATATATATAAACGGTGGGTTTACATTGCAGTTAAAAACAAGTCTTCCTCTCTTTAGCCTGGGAAAAGGAGTTATTGCATAAATTGCCTATAAAATTAGGTGCTACAATCTAGAACGGCGAACTGCAAGGGTCAAGATCGGGTGGAGGGGGTGGAGCAGCAGGCCATGGACACATCCAAATGGAGATCCTGGGAGAAGGCAGTCGTGCTAGAGGTCTCGTTGAAGCCACTGTCCGCCCGATACAGCGGAATCCTGGCTGCTTGCTGAGGCACTGCAAGTGCAGGAGGCTCCGCTGGCTGGCTTGAGCCGGCAGCTCTTGTCTGATCCTCTTCGTCCTCCAAATTGGCACTAAAGGACTGCGAGAGATTCTTGCGTTGTGCGGAGCGATGTCGTTTATGCCCGCGCGGAGTATCCGAGTTGGAGGAGCTGCAGTTGAAGCTCACGGTCGATAGTTGCATGGCCTCCGCCTCCTCGTCGTCCTCGGACTCAGCCTCCTCCTCCTCCCCCTCAGTTTCCTCGAAAAGCGGCTGATCGCCACCCTCGATCATAATCTGTCGCGTGCTGTTCACACGCAGCCGCCTAACCCGCTGATTGATGCTGCAATCGGAGTGCTCCAAGGCGCCCATGGGAGAGGAGCTCCTGTCCGGCGTGAACTTCAAGGCAGTGCTCTCCGACAATGTGTCCTGCTGCTCCGTAACGCTGACCTCCACCTTGGAGTGCACCAATCGCCGGCTGAGATGCTCCGATGGCGGAATGGGCGACGGCAGCTCCAACTCTTGCATTAAAAACTTACGCTTTCCGGAGCAGTTGCCATCATCGGGGGTGCCTGGCGGCAGTCCGCACAAGTTTCTAATGGGGGAAAGGCAGCCAAAGCTGCTTTCGCCGGAGGCGGAATCCGACAGTCTGCCCGCAAACATCGTTTGCTTGCCCTGCGGACTGGAGCCCACCATGGACCTCGAGTGCTCTGCCGTCTCCTGTTCGCCCAAAACAATGACATTATGCAGATCGAAGAGTTTCCGGCGCATGGAACTATTGAAGATGTCTTGACCGCCACTAGATTTGCTCCTGCCAGACAAGCGGCCAGCCAAGTGGGGCTGAAAGTACGGACGCAGGGCATCCTCTAGCGCTTTTGGCAGTATCGGCGGCAGAGTTAGTTCAGTTTGCACCTCGCAATCTCGCATCCACCGCGACTTCTTGGATATGGGGGTGTTGTCCTCGCTGCGGTTGAGTATTATGCGCTGTTTTCGCAGTGGACAATCCACGGGGCTGGCCACAATGTGTGTCTCCTTGAAAAAGGCACTGATCGCCAGCTGGGCCTTGGATTCCTGCTCGGGATCGGGGGAATCGTGGAACTGCGTCTCGTGGGGCTCCACGTCGGCGGGTTTCAGTTGGGAGACCTCGTCAATGTTCCACTCGAACTGGGTGGACGAAAGTTGGGGAGTCCTCGAGCGGAAAAGCGAGGGACTGCAAGGATAAATCACGATAAGTGTTTTTTTTTCTGGACGCACTGGAAAACTCACCTGCCAATCAGGGGCAGGTGCAAACGATCCGCCATCGCTCCTTCGAAGGGATTCCGCACCTTGTGCAGCCTTTTCGGGGGCGGGGTGCACACATTTCCCGACATCTGGGGGCTGTATTTTCCATTTTCTTTGCCGCCATTCGTTGGCGTTGCCGACGCCGCCGAGTTGTAGCTGTTCGAGTGGCTGTTACGCCGCGACCGGCACTTCAATTCGCTCAGATTTGTAAAATATCGATTCTTGAGGGCTTGCGGCGTTCGCACCTCGTCGTTGTACATCTTTTCCAGTCGCTAATTCGCCTAAATTCGACTTAAAGTAAAACAAGCGCGCCTGCTGCAAACCGCAGCCAGATGTCGGTATTTTCAAATGCGGCAGTGTTGCAAAACGACGTGGCGGAGTTATCGAATCGTTGGCAATTCGAAAAGCGAAATCCGAAATGGGCCGCTGTTCGACGAAATTTTGTAGCTAATGATTGATTTGTCATTTAATATTTTATTATCTGTTTATCTACAAGTGCCTGCAGAGAATTGGGACCCCATCCAAACTTTTGGTATTTTTCTTTTGCGCGCCACTTGCTGTGTATTTTCGATAACAAATCAGCTGGGCGACGTTAACCGTTTTATTTTGCAATGGGACCAGACCAAGAATATAGAATTTAAGGAGTTACGGTTAAAGAAAGTAGCAAACAGAATTATAAACTCTGAATTTGCAAAATATAAAACGTTTTAGAATTGGAGCTGTAAGAATCTATAAGCTAATTTAAGATTCTATTTGAGTATTATTACAATTTGTTGAATGGATATGCTGTTAGTTTCAAATAATTTAATACTTTTAAAATCGAAAAATACCAATTCCAGCATTTGAGTACGCTTTCGCAACTGGTCACACTGACAGCTGTCTTCCACCAACACATATGAGCGTGTGCGTGTGTGTGTGTGCGTGCGTGCAGTGCGAAATAGAAACAAGAAAAGCAAGCGAAAAATCACAGAAATTCACAAAGAAAAGCCCAAATAGTTTCAGAATTGGGCCGCCCGGCGAGGAACCGCAAAAGTGGCCAAAATTCGGCGAAAACAGCGCAAGTGTGACAAAGCATTCGTGCCGCTGCAGTCGTCGGCGAAACGGGCGAAAACAAAAGAGAATAGTGTTGATAGTAATACGAGCGTATTTAGCAGCAGCAGCAGCAGCGGCAGCAGCAGTGGCCGGAGCAGCGGCAGCGGTAGGGGAACGGAACGGTGGGCGGTGGGTGCGGAAGCGGGCCGGGGAACGGCCGAGAACGAAACAGCAGCAGCGGCAGCAGCAGCAGCAGCGGCAGCAACAACAAATGCCGGTCGCTTTATCACCGCCGATCTAATCAAAACAGTTAACAGCGACAAGCAGCAGCGAGCCAGAGCAGCAAAGGGCCACAGGGATGCGAAAAACCCCCTAGATGCCACCAAACATCTGCGCCTATCGGATTGCTTGCGTACCGTGCAAAAACTTGCTATTGAACTTGAGAGCGCCGACGCCGGCAGCGACGCCAGCGCCAACGCCAACGCCGACGCCAGCAGCGCCGTCATGTCCGAGACGGGCTGTCGGCACTACCAGAGCTACGTGAAGGAGCACAGCTACGATACATTCCGTGTCATCGACGCCTACTTCGCTGCCTGCGTCAACAGAGATGCGCGCGAGCGAAAGGTGAGTTCAGTGTCGTGTGCGGGAATGGGAGGCAGAATGAGCGCCTTGCTGCCGTGGTGAGGTGAGAATGTGCGAGTGTGCGGGGGGAGAACGCACTCAGAGGTGAGCCGTGAGTCAGTCACGTGAAAGGTCACTGACACGCCGGCTGGAATGGCAGTGGTAGTGGTAGTGGTGACAACACACTGTTCTCACCGCGAAGCTGTGCTTGGAATATGTGAATATGCAACAGCTGTTTCAACAGCTGACAAACGTACAATGTTTATGGCTTAAAAAACGCTTTTCATATATTTGATGTTTCCCTGAGTAAGGGGAGGGGAAAACAATATGTAATTATTTAAAATGATTCATTTCTGATATAAAGAACTTTTTTCAGATAAAGCTTCATATTTCAAAAGACATACTCACTTATGTTGTGGGAACATTTTTATTAAATGTAGGTTTTAGTATGGGGACACTTTTGCAAACTGCAACAAAACTCTATTTTATTTTGTTTCCCTTGAAATCTATGAATTTGAATAGTGCATATTTATGATATCGGATAAGAACAAAATATATATCATATCACATTATCCATCATTAAACCTTATCTCCCTCAGGCTATTCACTGCAGCTGCTTCGAGTGCGGCAGCTACGGCATCCAGTTGTACGCCTGTCTGCACTGCATCTACTTCGGATGTCGAGGGGCCCACATCACGAGTCACCTGCGATCCAAGAAGCACAATGTGGCCCTGGAGCTGTCCCACGGAACGCTCTACTGCTACGCCTGCCGAGATTTCATCTACGACGCGAGGAGCCGGGAGTATGCGCTGACCAACCGCAAGCTGGAAGCCAAGGATCTCCAGAAGAGCATCGGCTGGGTGCCGTGGGTGCCCACGGCCAAGGAGACCAATCTGCTGCTGGCCAACGCAAGGCGTCGACTGGTGCGGCCCAATCAAACGATCGGACTGAGGGGTCTGCTCAATCTGGGGGCCACTTGCTTCATGAACTGCATCGTCCAGGTGGGCTAAGCCAATAAATGTGGCCAGTTTCTTTAACCGACTTCTTCTTTATCCCCAAGGCTCTGGTTCATACGCCCCTGCTTAGCGACTACTTCATGTCAGATCGCCACGACTGCGGCAGCAAGTCCTCGCCCAAGTGTCTCGTTTGCGAAGTTTCGCGTCTCTTCCAGGTGAGTTTTAGAACTCCTTGAAGCACGGATTCTTGTTCGTCTTATGGTCGAGCCTCTACTGTACGCTATCCCTCTTTGCAGGAGTTCTATTCTGGCTCCCGTTCGCCGTTGTCGCTGCACCGGCTACTGCATTTAATCTGGAACCATGCGAAGCACTTGGCCGGCTACGAGCAGCAGGACGCGCACGAGTTCTTCATCGCCACACTGGACGTGCTGCATCGGCACTGCGTGAAGGCAAAGGCGGAGCACGATAGCAAGAGCAACAGCTCTGGCACGGGAAGTGGCACTAATTCGAGCAACTCGAGCAGCTCGCATTGCTATGGCCAGTGTAATTGCATCATCGACCAGATCTTCACGGGCATGCTGCAGAGCGATGTGGTGTGCCAGGCCTGCAACGGAGTGTCCACCACCTACGATCCCTTTTGGGACATTTCGCTGGACCTGGGCGAAACAACAACGCATGGTGGTGTTACCCCAAAAACGCTGATAGACTGCCTGGAGCGGTATACACGGGCCGAGCATCTCGGATCGGCCGCCAAAATCAAGTGCTCCACCTGCAAATCCTACCAGGAGTCCACCAAACAGTTCAGCTTGCGCACTCTGCCCAGCGTGGTGTCCTTCCATCTGAAACGCTTCGAGCACTCTGCTCTCATCGATCGCAAGATCTCCTCGTTCATTCAATTCCCCGTGGAGTTCGACATGACACCCTTTATGTCCGAAAAGAAGAATGCCTATGGGGACTTCCGGTTCTCTTTGTACGCCGTGGTCAATCACGTGGGCACCATCGACACCGGACACTATACGGCCTATGTGCGCCACCAGAAGGACACGTGGGTCAAGTGCGATGATCATGTGATAACGATGGCGTCGCTCAAGCAGGTGCTGGACAGCGAGGGGTAAGCATTATACGCTTTCGATCCTACAACTTAAGCATACATGTATCATTACGAAAGCAGCATTCGATTTCAATTTGGCCACTCGTCAAATCAAAGTAATTTGTACCATATATTTCTATAAATTCACATACAAAGCTGCTTAGCTTTATTTCGATTTTCAAATCATTATTAATGTAATATTTTTCACTTCTTTCAGTTATTTATTGTTCTACCATAAAAACGTGCTGGAATACGAGTGAGAAAATGCGCTGAGCTCGAATAAAGCGACTGTATCCCTCAAAAACAAAACCCACAAGCAGAAGCCAATGCATTACGAATTCCGAATAAACACAAAATACAGACAAGGACGCGGCAGCGCTTACATATTAAGTAATCTTAACACAAACCGTATCCAATCCTATAATCTGAGTGCTAATTCGATTGGGGTTGTTCAAGCTCACAAACTCAGAACATTGGAACAGTAGAGAACAAACAAGAAATTATTGAAAAATGTATTCTGAACACTCGATTTGCGGAGATAACCGTTTTGCTCTAAGTATTTCAAATCCATAATACTAAAATCAAAAACCAACAGAAAAACAGATGTCTTATACATTTATATTTAGAAATGAAACAAGGGATAAGATACAATTGCGGTATTGTAAATGAAATAAGGTTCTTTTCCTATTTTATTGAATTGCTACATTATTACGAAAAAATGTTTAAAACATGTCAAGATAAATCAATGTCAGCTCATCATACATTTTTATTTCGTTTATAATACTTCAAAGCATTTTATATTTCGGTGTCATATTTAGCAGAGCCATTACTATAAACTACTTCCATCGCCCATTAAATGCTTTATTTTCTAGGTACATTTACGGGGTCTTAAAAACAGGGTTTGAAATATTTACACTGCAATTGCACATATAAAAAGAAACTTGTTAAAAATATTTGCTTTTAAAAAAAAATTACAACCGACATCACTTGGGCTCGTCCGGGAATTGAACCCGGGACCTCTCGCACCCGAAGCGAGAATCATACCTCTAGACCAACGAGCCTGCGGTAGCATACGCGATCCGAATGTCGCTTTTTAATGTGCGGGCCCTCTCACTCCATCGCTGTAGCTCAAGCTGCGGGGCAGCTGAAAAGAGACAACTATAGGTTGCGCGTGGTTCGAACGCCTGCTAACTTAGCTGATACACAAACCAAATTGAATATTAATGACAATTTACCCAAAAGCACGTTATTTTTCAATTGCAATGTTGCAATAAGCTATGTTACATGTATTGGATTTCATTTTTTATTTTTGTGTAACGAAAACCTGTTGTTTTGTTGAAACTAAAAATCGGTTTTTTGTCCTCTTATTGTCCTCTGGTCTTGCACACAGTGGCAGCTTTACAAAAATTGTTCGTGCATTTTCCTTACAGCGTCGGGAGGTATTTAACTTATATTTATGTTTTATTCCGGGGTCTCGTTTTTCAGCTCTTGTCTGTTCTAACTTAAAAGTAAGTAATAATAGCGCATTTTGTTGAGGTTACCAAAAAAATTTAAAATTTAAATTTCAAAGCAACAAAAGTGTGATCTGTTATCGAGTTCATTACCATATCGATAAGATCGGGAACTGTGCAGCACTATCGTAGAAGCCTAAGTCTTGGCGTGATCAGTTCGCGGATAAAAATGGAGTTTCAAAAGTCGTATAATTATCCCAAATTAATGTTGGGTGCCGAACGCACCAATAGCTGCATATGTGATCGCAAGAGGGAAAATGTTATTGTCTGTAGCCGCTGCAAGCAGACGTTTGTAGGCCGCCTTTCGCAACGCTGCCCAAAACATCCAGAAGTAAGAAACAAAAAGTATTAAAACAAGCGGTAAATATATGTATGTATGTACAAACACCTATTATTTTTGTCAAAGGTGACTTTTCTAATGGACGCCCGTCAATGCGCTTTCTGCGGAGCTCATGCTAATTTCTTGCAGGTCTCTGAGACTTAAAAGTAATATAAATTTCCTAGCAAAGCAAGTGGTTTTCGTTGACGAAAACTGCAATGTAACGTAGTCCGTACATAAGGAAATACATAAACATTGGGTAATTGTAGCAATACATAAATAAGCAGAGCTCTTTGTAAACTATTTGTTTTATTTGTATGCTTTTTCATTTGTAATGGACGAAATTGCGTTGTATAGTTTTGGTCACTGATCTGCGCTTTTAGAAGTGTCACGTTTCGCAACACTATATTTCGATCAATCGCTAATAATTTCTTAAACTTTCAGATATATATCTATATATATATATCAACCTAATAAAATAAGAATGGGTAACATAAATATAAATCACTTTTAACTGAAGGCCACTGATCAGGGGTAGCGCTGTAGTGGAAGGATTGTGAAAACAATAAATAAATAAACATATCGATATCTTTGTTTCGGCTCCGCTCGAATTTCACAGCACTGCCAAGCGCCGTTACCTGAACTTGGCGTCGAAAAAAATTTCAGCGGCTAAAGCTATTCGACAAGCAGGGATTTTCGTGAAAATCAATATATTTGTTTGTTCATAATATAACCATCAGAATAATAACCATGCCCTTCGGTAAATATTAGCTTTAAAACAGATTCCGATCCTCTAAATCACCGCTTATTTCAGAGAGCAAGGGAACCGATTCGGGATCCATAGCCGCACGCCTCCGCCAACGCTATTTGAATCTTTCGTCGCCATTCCTGAAGGATGTAACCCTTAAGAAATCGCCGCCGTCGAAACTATTCCAGTCCGTGGCGCCTACCGAAATGGAAGGCGACGAGCAGGCGTACCGCGAATTCGAGCGTGGACTCGACATTTCCAGCTTAGATCCGGAGCACCCGGAGCAGCCTAAGCTCAAGTACGAGCTTGCAGAGGATTACAAGAGCTCCAAGCACTGCATCTGCTTGCGCTCGAGCACCGCATACGAGTGCGATCGATGCCACCAGTACTTCTACGGCCGTCTCTCAGAGATTTGTGAGGAGCACCCACAGGTAGGTGGTCCTTATAACACCAATGACCAGCCACACGCAAGGTATCCCCTTATTCATTTGATATCCTAATAGGAAGCTTAAATAAGAGATTAAATAACTAGATTTGTTATATATTCCAGCAGTCAATACGTAGATATCAATACTCTGACCATATAAATTCGTTTACTGTTCTTATATTAATTTCCTGCCTTACTAGGAGTTTTATCTTATGGATAAGCGCGGCTGTCCATTCTGCAATGCCCCTCTTGAGCTGATTAAGAAGTCACCTATCAGCAGGGAGACCATACTTAAGATTGAAGAAGCCGAATTGCCCAGTGATGAAGATCTATGATTGAGAGTTTGAGACTCAACGCATGTTACCTTAAATACAATGTTAAATGTCGAACCAACTGTAATTATATTCTTTGTATTCGAATACATTAGAAGACTTCGACTGAAAGGAGCTGACTTAAGTTGTCACTTGGCCCACATGTCAGGTTTCTTTTTTCAGCGCAACATTTATGTATGATGTGCACACATAAGCTGTTAGACAGGAACTGCGGCACGGACATGACCACGATAAACTCTTATAGCCCAGTCTGCAGATTGGCACTGCGGCAGTGACTCGACGCAAAGTGCATGGAATGGATATGTGTGAGCTTACAGCTGTTCCCACATTGCTAGTGACCCAAAAGTTGTTTTTATTCAATATATATATATGATTTGGTGGAAAAGGCTGAATCAAATCATATTTAAAATTCCGACTAGTTCTAAGAAGTGGATTTTCAAATGCTTCATAAGTGAATCCTTTAAATTCCACTATTTATTAGGGTATTGCCCCTATTTTGCTTCCCAGCACTTCAGTGAGCAGGAAATTCCCAGTACTTACGTCACAGTTTATGGCTGACTAGACTGCGCTTCCCAACGTGCTGATTCATATCAGGTTAGTATATAATATCTTGTGAACTTGCATTAACTTATCTGCCATCTTTCCAGTGCAGCGCGGAGTCTCAGCTTGGCCCCATTGAAATCAGCGGACAAATTCATGTCACCAGATAACAATTCAATCACTTAAGAGTTCAGCACATTTTGAAATCGCTTTACAATGCCCCAAGCCAAGTCTCCATGGGCACATTGTGGTGTCCTTCTTAGTTCTTCGTCCTGCGCTGCTCTGGCTAACTCCTGCTGGTCTGGTAAGTGGCGACGCTTTAGATTGCATTTGCCTCGACTTATTTTCAGTTCTTTACTTTCCTCGTTCTGGCTCCATGCACTGCACTTTTCCCAACGACTTGGCAAACCATTCTATGGATTCACTTGTTCTTGGACTTCCACTTGCGGTTTTTCTGCATCCGCATTCTTGTGCTTCAACAGGCGGCCATGGTAAATCAGAGCATCTGTGGATCGCAGGAACTTCTGGCCTAGTCATTGCTGCTTTCGTCCTCGCTTCTTCAGCAATTTGAATGGACAATGTCCGCAGTTGGTTGCTTTTCACTGGAAGTTTTAATGATACGGTAAGATTAAAGTTTTTATAATTTTCCTGGACCTACGTCCTTTTATGCAATTAATTTAAAGAGAGCTTGATGTGTAATTGCACTCAAGGGATAGTAAGGAATACGTCTGCATCCCGTTATATGTTAGACGTAACTGAACGAAATGAACCCTTAGCAAGCTTTCTTCCTTTTTCACTGCTTGTGTCGACAACTGCAGCCCATGGTTAACTTGTTAATGCTTAAATACGGTTTGAATGGCTACATAAACAACATCACTGGCACTTCCTTTCTGTGTGTCTGCAAGGCCATCATCCGGCAGCGTCCTCCCCTTTAACCCGTTTCAAAAACAGCTCCGGCTCCGTTGATGGCAACAGAATGAGGATTCGGTCCTGGTCGCAGTTTCCATTTCTGCCAGTTGCGAGTGCCTCGGCATGCGAGTGTCTTTTGCCTGTGGGCACTTTGGAATAACTTGGACAATTGCTTTCATGCTGATTTCGTTTCGCTTTGGTCCCCCACTAGACCTTGTTGCTTTTAAACTCATTTCAGGTTCCAGATCAACTTGACCGTGCTTAACAGCCGAGTTTAGGTATGCTACTTTGAAAATATTCCAATTAGTGTAACAGTTTTTTAGCTCTTATGCTGGCCCTCTTAGTGCATATTTTTGGAACAGGCATGCAAATTAGGAAAGACGGTGTGGTATAAGCATGTAAACTAAAATAATTAGAGGTTTCGTAGTTTTTCGTAGGAAAAGGATTAAAACCATTTTGCTTGTCTTAATATGATGTTCTTATGGAACGAAATATGCAAAAATAGTTTTTGGAACGTGTGAAAATATCTGTTCATAGGGTTTGCATATTGTGAGACCTTTTGAGGTTTCCAAATCATCTAGGTCAGCGATCTCTAGCATCCCTGTTTTAAAATATTCATGAAAGCCTGTCCTTTGCCCCTTTAAATCACATCGTTGCACCCATTATGTGACTCCTGGATGCGGCATAGACAAAGTTGGCTTAAGTACGCCGGCCTGCCTGGCTATTGTACTCCGTGCCCAGCGTGACTGCAGAGCTGCAGTTGCAGCTGCCCCCTTTCCATTATTGAAGTGAGCACTTGCGCAAAATGGTATTTGGAGCAAGCACATAAGCTTAACCCCTCGGCAAGCAGCTTCTCTGCCAATAGAAGCTGTGAATTTAGTGGCACTTGCAATTTTATGGCAAACAATGCAGGGGACACCAACCGGACTGAAGGAGCAAAGTGCGCCAATGGGAGACTCCACCTCGGCGATGGCTATTTATTTGCCTGCCCTATTACTAATGGCAGCCTTAATAAAAGTTTACATTCGCATATTAGGCCAAACAAGGCTTCTTGAATACTTGCTGCCGTTCATGGATCCATTTGGATATGGCTGTGAACGGAAAAATGATTTCACCTTTTTGCTGTACCCATTTATATGGTTACCCATTACTTACTCCATCTGGAACCCAGGACGATGGGACAAACAGAATGTTCTGTTAGCGGATCAGGTTCTCCGGCATGATTCAAGTTGAACCAAACTAGGGCGTTGCCTTTTTTGGGTTGTACGGCAATCTTCAGTTTTGGAAAAACTGTAGTTCCTCCCAACGGAACGTCAGATGCCTAAATTAAGACAAACCATTAAAATAAACAGAATACAAGAAAAAGTGAAGAAGCACTTACGTAGAGTACCGCTGTAGCTATTCGATCGCCTTTGAAATCGGCAAAAAAGTCTGACTGAAAGAAAGTGCATGCTACTCAGCTATATTTCACTAATCTGAAAACCACTCACAGGTCTTTTGGCCAACTCCACGTAGTCAACATGCTTCCCAAAATCACCACCCAGGCCGTAATTGCTCAGGTAGAGAACCATATTTTCGCGCATCTCAAGACCACTCATGTCCGCTATCCGCCGATTGATGCTTAGGGTATAAGGTGCCGTGGTGTCCTTAAAATCAATCATTTTCACCACTCGATCCTGCGTCTTCGGTTTGATCTTTTTGTGAAAATCGAAATATGTCCGACCATCAATCATGGTGGCATTAAATACGGCTACGTCTCGCATAGATTTGAACTCCTTTTCGTACAGCACATCGTGATACAGATGTATCATAGGCTGCACGCTCAGAAACTCCAATTTGAGTGGTGCCAACTTAAGGAACGCCGAGGTGTCCCTACTATAGCGACATATTAGTTCTGGCGAGGATTTCTTTGGCCACTCTCCACGGCAACCGCGCTCCAGTTTGGTGGGCTTGCGCTGCAGCTTGGCGGCTACCTCTTGGAAGATCTTCTCGTCCCCTGATAGGTATTCATCTATTAACGTCTTAACGTTGTCGTAGTTGTCGTTCCTTGTGACCTCCTTGGCCAATCGGTTCCACTCAGTCTTCTCCTTCGCATTGAGTTTGCTTTTATCCAAAGTTATGGCTTAAAATGGAATTGAATGACATTAGTCGACATCTTTGATGCGTTTAAAATCCGCAAGTTATCTTACATTCCATCAGCAAGACCTTGCCATATTTTTTGTATATCCTTTTCCTTTTTAGACCCAAAATTTTGGCGTAGATCATGCCTTGAGGATTCGTGTGAAGCCTCAGGGCCATGCGATACCAGTGGGTGGATCCGGAGAATTGAGTTTGATTGTAGTAATAATCAGCTAGGGCAACACAATCCGGAGCAGTCAGATGGGAGCTACAAAAATTCGCTTTGATACTCCCAAAAAGGCATTTTAAAATTTCAACTCACTTGAATTTCTTTCCCAAAAGTAATCCTTTGGTCAAGTCATCTGCGTGCTGATTGTGAAATTTCTCAATGCGCGTCATACCCTTTAGGGCAACTTTGAGGTCATCGTCACTCGGCGCAGACTTCAACTGCACTTCCATTTCTTTGGCTTTCTTGGAAGCTATAGCCAGTTTTATATATCTTAGCCATTTGGGCCAATCTTGATTGAGGCGTCTGAGCAAGGGAAACGCATTTAAGGGATTGGACACATACTCTTCCTTCTCCTCCAGCGTGGTCAACTTTTCCCTTTTCAGGGAGTCTCGATATCTTAGAATATAGTACAGTATATACTGTATAATTCAACCTACATTTCAATGGATTTTTACTCATTTAGACTTACAGTTTGATCAGGTCTAGCTTTGACTGCATTTCCTGAACGTAAAAATCCAGGTTAGCTTTTAGAGATTCTTCCATTTCCAAAAGCTTAACCATGCTCATCACAGAAGTACTGTACATCATTTTGTCCTTTGGCGGTTCACCTTCGTCCATGCAAAAGTCCTGAGGAACACCTATTAATAAAAGACCTAGCTGAAGGACGAACCACCTCATCTTGGCTTAGGTTAACTAATGCACCGTATTTCGGTTCTATTTATCGGACAAATCCACAATTTCATGGTATAATGGCTGATACATTTGTGGTTCCGCCAGAGTGCATGAAATGTGACTTATATTATTTTTGGGAAAGGTTTAAAATTGGTTTCGTAAGCCCATTTTCACTTGGTATGGTCTTTTGAAAATTTGGAAAAAAAAGTACATACTACTATATAATGATCATTGTAACTATAGAGTTGTTCAATGTTTATTAACTACGATTTGCATGGGAAGCTAAACATTTGAGGAAAAATTGGAACCCACATTGTGAGAGCTGAAAATAGAAATATCCTATATGTAGTATAGTCGTAATGTATGAGCAACCTAACGTACTCCATCTGTCTCCATTGACAACTGGACACGCCGAGTGCTGGCTTCTAATATCCGGTCTTCCGTCATCATGCAAATTGAACCAGTACAACATGCTGCCTTTCTGTGGGAACACCGTAACATTGATTTCCGGAAAAACAGTGGCACCTCCTTGCAGAACTTCACCGGCCTGTAAAGAGTAATCTGCGAACAGATTGCAAGGGAACAGGGATATCATCCTAACTCACATAAAATATAATGCTGGCCAACCGATCCCCCAACGTCGTAACTTCTGGAGTTTCAAATCCATCGGAGGAGTAGTCGAAGTGCGGTTCGAAATAGGTGCCCACTCCATAGTTCGCGATCTGTAGCTTTTCGTCCTTTGTGAAGTTGAATCCTGTCATATCAATAATGCGCTGATTGATGCGCTCGCGTGTTAACGATGTATCTGACCACCAGTCATATCGGGCTACTGTATCTCTGATTTCTGTGCCATTTCTTTGTCTTGCGTAGCCATTCACCATATTCCCAGATTTACCTTTAAGTGCATGAATCTCCGAATCATACAGAACTTCGTGATACACTGCTATAAATGGATCCAAACTTATTTCCTCGAATTTCAGAGGGGCCAATCGCAGAAACGTGTTCGCCGTGCTTTTGTATCGACACACAAGGTTCGTCCTTTGGCGATACAGTCCTCGACAACCAATTTCAAAGTTGGAAGCACTTCTTTTTACCTGATACAGCTCTTTCTCTACTTCAGCATCGTTCAGCTCGGACACTATATTGTCCAGTTCCTCTTGACTGGCGTTTGCTAGAGAGTTTTGCAACATAATAAAGGCATCTTCAACAGACTTCGAAGGCTCAGATATAGTAGAGCCTGAAATGAGTTGGGGTGAGTCAGATGCGTGAAGATTTAAGCTTAGCCTTACCATATATGAAAAGAGACTTAACGTATTGGCGATGAAGTTCTTCGGATGGGTCGCCCAAAATCTCAATTAACAACTCTTCGGGATTTTCTAATTCGCGCTTGCAAGCAATGCGATACCATTTTGCTGCTGCTTGATAGTCGCGTTGCTGGTACATAGAATTTCCCATGGCTATGAGGTCGCGATATGTAAGTTGAACCCTGTAGGCTTGATTTTACTAATCATTCTGTAATTTGCATTACTATTCTATATACTTGTACTGAACTCCTTGCAACAGTCCTTGTGCCAAATCGTCGATCTTTAATTCATATATTCTTTCTATACGTTGAATTCCACGCATGGCCGACAATATGTCCACGTCGCTAGGCAGCTTTTCCACAAGGTCATCCAGATTACTAAGATCTGTATATACTATTAAGGTACTAGTTACTACGTACTAGTTACTACGTACTAGTTACTATATACTAGTTACTCTATACTAGCTTCTACATGCTATTTACTACGTACTAGTTACTTCATACTAGCTACAACTTACTAGTTACTACATAGTTGTTACTACATCCTAATTACTACATACCCTTTCCAATGGCCTCTCTAAAATAGGCGTGCCATTTTGGCAAATCCTCGTGGGTACGTCTCAAAAGTGAAAAGGCATTTATGGGATTCGAAACATATACCACTCTTTCATTGAGGCTTCGATTCAATTCATAACCCACTGAAGACAAGTACCTACAATTTTTCATTTACTAGTGATAAAAACAAATTTTAGATTGTACTACATTCGAAGCGATTCGAAATGTTCTCCCAGTTGATCTGCTTTGTTCATGAGGCTATCGACGAAGTGTTCCTCCACTCTAAGCAGTTTCAGAAGTCCTACGGTAGATGAGCTGTATCGTTCTTTTTCCTCAATATCATCGACGCAGTGCACAAAAGTTTTCAGGACTGCAGAACAGAGAAGAACTGCGTATAAACTGGGGCACTTTCTCATTGTGACTAAGGAGCATTCATATTTGTTTAACCAATTCAGTTCTTCTAGAGGTAAATGGATTCTCCAAGGTCAGAGGTAGTTGAATTGATTGGATACGTTTGTTTTTTCACTGTTTTTGCTTGCTATTATTGCAAACTATATTGAAAAGTTATTTGTTTTAAGTGCTTTATAAAAGAATTTATAAATTCTGGTTATTCTTTACCAAGTGCTCTATAAAAGTATTTATACATAATGGTTATTTTTAGCTTTCGTTTTTTTTATACTGCAAAGCTCGTCCATTGTATGCACCCTTTTGGTGAGAACTAAAAAGAAATCTATATCAAACAAATGTATTATATAGAACTCAACTTTTTCAGGTACTCCATTTATTTCCCTGAAGAACTGGGCATTCCAATGGCTCGTTACGGGTATCAAGTGTTTTATGCCAAAACAAACAGCTGCCCCTTTGGGGAAAGACAGCTATTTTCAAGTTTGGAAAAACCGTCGCTCCACCTTGCTTTACATTGTCAAGCTGCATAGATAAATATTTAGTACAGGTGTTATCCATTGGATTGTGAAGGCTTATGTATTATATGTAACCAATGCGTTTTGATTAGTCAGTACTTACAAAAAATAGCAATGTACCCTTTGGGGTTTTTCCTTTATGCCGGTGCGTTTCTGAAACATTTTCTGAAACTATAAGTTGATCTGAATGCGGAATTCTCAGTCGTGTCATGTGGCTAATACGTTGAAAGATGCGTTTTTTAAAGGGATTGATTTCCTCCGCGCTATTATCATTTGAGTGCTGTTTGAGCTTTTCGATCTCGTCGTCGTTAAGAACTTCGTGGTATAGGACAATGTAAGGATCCCAATTTAAAACTTCCTGTTTCAAGGGCGATAGTCTCAAGAATTCTGTTGCGGTGAAATTATAGGTGCACACTAGATTCCTAAGTCCACGAAACTGGCCACGGCATCCCATTTCGAAGTCTGTGGGCCCTGTCTTGTTAACATTCATTTCATAAACTATTTCTTCATCAGTTTGACTCAGCAACTCGTTCAAAAGGGACTTCACATCTGCTGGGCTGGCTTTATTCAGGGCTTCGTAGGATATTTCCTTAGCTTCTGCGATTGTCATCGAAGGATTTGACCTGGTAATGCCTATGTATGGTATGGTATAGATAAGATAGCTCTACTTTGTTTAATACACTCACCGAATATGAGCATTGATTTGGCGTACAGCGTGTTCAATTCGTTTTTCGGATCTCCAAGGATATTGTTGATTATTTCGGCATTTTCCTCGGGTTCATGTTTGATGGCCATGCGAAACCACATGGAAGCCCGCTGGTAGTCCTCCACTTTGAATTTGTGCTCGCCCAAAGCCACGCAATCCCGAATCGATGGCCGAAAGCTATAAGGTTATGTTATTAAATCGATAATAACTAAAATCAGGTTTTATGTACTCATATTGCTTGTCCTGAATGCGACCTCTTGCTAACTCGATGGCTTCCAGATCGTAAATCTTTTCAAGCCGGTGCATTTCTGCCAAAGAGTGTTCCATATCCTTTTTACCCGGAGCCTTGGCTATAATTTCATCTAATGCAAACAGTTCCTCTTAAAAAAAGGTGATTATTATATCAGTACTTAAATTTCACCAATAGCTGAGTTAAACAAACACAAGCCTGATAAATATTCTTACCCATTCCCACGATCTGCTGTGAATAATTGTGCCATTTTGGTAGATCTTCATGAGTCCGTCTCACCAGACTAAATGCATTAATGGGATTACCGACATATTTCTCACGATCTTCACAACTTTGATTGAATTCGTAGTCAACCGAGTCGATATAACTGTGGGAAACAAATGGCTTCAAAGTTTGTAAATCATTCACGAAATGTCTTACGCCTGGAGATTTTGAACCTTTTCGGCCAATTTATTGGTGTATGCCTTAATATTAGCTATGAACACTTCCTCCATTTCTAAAAGTTGTAGGAGTCCAGTGGTTGAACCATACACATTGATACTCTCAACGTGTAAAACATCTGGTGAATATTCGCCCATAATTTGACTCCAAAAGAGAAGAAAAACGATCAAACTCCAACAGCTTTTCATTTTGACTGACTCCTTTATTTACCAGTTGAGTAAGAAAATGAAATATGATAAGGTTATACCGTCACTAATACATTTTTGTATACTTGCATCCCAAAGGAACACGTCACTTTTTATGAACTCTTGGGCTGCAGGGCTTCACAAACATTTGGGGAGCGTAGTGCAACCACTTGGTAATCGCTGTAAGTATATAGTACATAGTTATGCCTGGTGCTTTACAACTTTATCTCATAAAACCCACTCCATCTGGAACCCACTATAACTGGACACACGGAGTGCAGGGATCGTGGATCTGGTGATGAATCGTCGAAATCATTGAACCAAAACAATGCTTTACCCTTTTTGGGCTCCACCGCCACCTTTATGTCTGGAAATACGGTTTGTCCACCTTGCGAAACTTCTCCAGCCTGTCAGAAAAGAGCCCTCGATCAATCTTGTCAAGTTTTAGAGGAATATGTTGAGTACTTACATAAATTATAATACTGGCAAGGCGATCTCCCAGGGTGTTGTTGGCATCCAATTCCTTTAAACGCTCTGTATAATAATCGTAATGGGGCTTGAAATACCCACCCACTCCAAAATTGGCCAGTTGTATGGCAGGAAACTCTTCCACTTTGAAGCCCGTCATATCGGAAATGCGATCATTTATTCGCTTGCTGAAAGAAGATTCCTTCGTTATCCAGTAGATGTGGGAAACAATTTCCTTGGGTTCTTCTAGGCTAGTCCACCCATTTTCCATTTGCTTAATCTCGCCTTTCATTTCCTCAATTTCCTTGTCGCTTATCACTTCGTGGAACATTACAATGTAAGGGTCCCGGCTTATTTCCTCCATTTTCAAGGGTGCTAGTTTTAGAAAAGCGTTTGTGCTGAAATTGTATCGGCAGACTAGGTTGGTTTTCTTAGGAAACAGTCCTTGACATCCAATATTATGCTCAGTGGGAAGTGTTGTGGAACTATCCTTAATCCAGTGCTTTAGGTTTGAACTGATGAGCTGTTCCAAATCTTTTGGCTTAGCATCTTGTAATTGGCTGTTGACCAATTTGTCAATGGCTTCATCAGTCAGTGCTTGATGCGTTAAATAAATGCCTGCAAAGGATTAAATATTCAGAACTACTAATTGGTTGGTTATACAAAAAAGTATTGATAGGCCTTCTTTCTCTTAATATCATTTACTCACTGCGCTTGGCTACGTCTGTTGCAAAGCTCTTCAATTCAATTTCCTGTAATTTATTAACTAACTCCAGACTCCCATCTGTGTTTATATTTAATGCTTCTTGAAACCATAATAGTGATCGTTGAAACTCGTCGATTTTAAATGTATGGTGAGCCAAAGCCAAACAGTCCCGCAATGTAAGTTTATAGCTAGTTAAAGTGTAAAATATTATGATAATAGTTGTATTAAGTCATTTTCAGACTCACTTAAATTTTGTCCCTTGAAGTAGTCCCTTTGCTATATCTTTCGGTTGGAGATCATAGGTTGTCTCTATGCGGTGCATTGCTTTCAGTTTTTCATCCATGTCGAAGGATTCAGGGGCTGCACTCACGATATCCTGCATCGCATTGAGTTGTACCATTCCCAGTTGCTTTTGGGTGTAGTTTTGCCATTTTGGCCAGTCCTGATTTAGTCTTCTGATCAGTGCAAACGCATTTAGTGGATTGGAAACGAACTTCTCCCTTTCATTGTGGGTTTTGTGACTGGGCCGCTTCAGTTCATCTAGGAAGCTGAAACATGTTAGGGGTGTAGCAGATGTGTAATAACTGGTGAAGGCTCAACTCACATATTTAGGTTATCCACTTTCTCCTGCAAGATGTTAGCATAGATCGAAAAACTCTCCATAAACTCTTGCTCCATTTTCAAGAGCCTGACTAGTCCAAAAACAGAGGAGCTGTAGTACTTTTTATTGAATAAATCATTTGGGTCCGTAGAAAGAATTGACTGAACTAGGATAAGCAGAACAGAGACTCTCAAAGCACTCAACATTCTTTAGCAGCTTTTTAAAGAGTGTAAAATAAATTGTACCGGGATTAGGTTGTTTAAATTATTTATTTAACGCTTTTAATTTCATGCTTTGGTTATGCGCTTTCAATTTCCTCATTATTTGTACACGGTCTGGAGAACATTTGAGGTCTTTCGTGTAACCATTTGACGAGGGCTTAAAAGAATAGTCAATTGTCAGTTAAATGTTATTTTTAACTTAAAGCTCTTTGCTAACTCACTCCATTTTGAGCCAACTATAACTGGACATGACAGGTGCTGCAAAAGATCCTCCTTGGGCTGCAAACTATGATCCAAGTTTCTCCAAACCAAAGCGCTACCTTTTTGTGGAAAAATTGTGAGGTTTGCGTTCAGAAAAACAAAGGCACCACCTAGAGCCACATCGTTCATCTGAAATTTTAGGTTTAGAATTGAGGAAAAAGATCATATCATATCGTATCTTAATGCATTATCGTTTTACTTACGAAAAATAGAATGCTTGTTAGGCGATCGCCCAGTTTCGCCTGAAAGATAAGAATGCTTATCGTCGATTCACTCGTGTATTTATCCAGCCTACCGTTTGATCCTGCGACTCTAAGTTGTCATTATGATAAAACCTGAACCCACAGATACCATAGTTCTCTATCTGCAAGTCCGTGTCCTCTTCCACATCCTCTCCTGTCATGTCCTTAATTCGCAGGCTTAGAGGACTGCGGGGATCCTCCCGAATTTTGGCAAGCTTTAGGTTATGGTCTTCAGCGCGAAGAATTCGCGAGGGGCTTCTTAGTGAAGGCAGTGAAATATTTTTCACTTTTGAGATCTCGCTGTCATAGATTACATCATGATACAAAACTATATGCGGCTTCACACTTAGCGTTTCCACTTTAAGAGGAGCAATCCTAAGGAAATCTGAAGTGTTCTTTTCGTAGTGACAGCTTTGATGTTGCCTGGTCGGCCAAACTCTTTGACAACCAGCAACATCGATCCATGGTGTAATGGGAAACTAGCATGGAAAATACATGAAGATTCCCCAATATTTACACAAAATTAACTTACCGTGGGATCAGGAATGCCAATTTTTCGTACATCATAAACGGCTTTGCGAAGCGACCAAAGAGTAGCGTCTATATCAGATACGTCGCGTAGCAGATTCCATGCTGTTCCCTCAAAACCTTTTTGGGGCTAATTAATTATTCATCTTGTCAATAGTTGAGGCCACAAAACTGACCTACCTTTACTTATCAAAGCTGAGGTGTAATTTATGTATAAATCAGGCAGCTTAAAACCAAATACTTCCCTGTAGACTTGGCCATCTCGATCATCATTATAGTGTTCTACAGCAGTCTTATACCAATTTAGAGCGTACTTATCGAAATTAGTATTCATACACGCGTTGGCCAAAGCCTGGCAATCAAGTGTGGATAAGCTGGCACTGTAAACAAGAATTTCTATTCAAGCTGATTGGAAAATAGACTCATTACCCACTTGTATTGCTGACCCAGAAGTAGTCCATTGGCTATGTCACCTGGCTGTAGATTGTAGAATTGTTGCAGTGCAATGATTCCATTGATGGCATCATTAAGATCCATATCGGTTGGCTGTGCTTCGTCCAAGACGTTTTTAATAGATTCAAGGTGTTCCAAGCCAACTTGGTTCAACATTAATAGCTCGGATTGGGTCCAGTCCTCGTGCAGCCGTCGAATAAGGGAGAATGCGTTAAGAGGATGAGCAACGAACTCCCGTGGGTTACTCCTTGAAATTTCCCGCTTGGATTGTACCTCTTGCAGGAAACTGAAAGTTGGATACATTGAAACAAACTATATTCACAGCTTATTCCACCACCTCTCCAACAAATCGATTTTATTCTTTAGGGCTGCTGTGTAGTTCTCCATCTGGCTGATAAGAAATCCCTCCATAGCCACGAGCCCTTTCATTCCGGCTACAGACATTGCGGAATCAATCGTCATTTCAGAAAGGCCCCCTGGCAGACCAAGTGAAGTTAGGCAGATGGATAGGATCATAAACATGCTTATTTCAATTGGGAGCACAAAAGTTACTGACTTACTATTTTCTGCTCTTGCAAACCATATAAATTTCGTGTCGAGGCATACAAAATGCATTCGTCAGGGATTGCCAACAGTTTTGTGGTTGATTAAGCTATTGGTTGCCTTTTTTATGTTAAACATCAGCGACCCGGAAACTATTGCCATTTTATTAGCGAACTAATTTCAGTATTAAAAAAAATATTGATTTCACCTAGAAATAAAGTTTTGCCTTATAAACATTTAATGCATGAAGCTGTTAACGGTGATATTAGCTAATTTGTTATTCACTCTCAACTAGTGTTATTTTTCAAGGGACTTGGTGGGACATGGAGAGATAGATCTCTGGCGGGACATGGCAGTCTTTATTTTCCTAGACCTTCGAGTTTAAGCTCCTTAGTATGGAAAAATTTGTTATTAAATGTAGCCAGTTATGGTCCAATATGAATGGGCGATAAGTGGAGTACTCCATTACCCCTTTTGGTAAATTATTATTTAGTACATTATTTATTATTAGTTACCACCAAATTCTTTAATGAATTGCTATTTAAAATTTATATACAACAGAGTAAAAAGTTTTTATACTGTATTTTCCCATATTTTTCATCCATGATGCATTACAAATCAGGTCTAATTGCCTAAATATAAATGGTATGGTTTGGTCTGCAGTCTTCAGTTAAAACAAGTTAATGTCGACGCTAGAATGTTGTTTCTCTGTGTAGTTGTAACTGCCTGCCTTGGTCTTCAAGTTAAGGGAGAGGTTGTATCCGCTCCCGACTCCTACGATTTTGTAATATCCTCGGAGGCCCAGTTGTCGTTGCTAAAGTTGAGAGAAACCCAAGTGAACAATCTTCAGAGCTATAAAAAAGTTTTACAGATGCACTTACAGAAAATTCGGCGGTATGTTTATTTATACATAAAGTATAATTATCTAATTGTATTTCCTTGCAGAGTTATAAGGCAATCTACAGATCTGTTGAAACAGACGACCAATTTTCATCGTAATTTAATTTTTGGGTATAAGGTTCTAAGGCACATACACAATGATTGGCCCCAGTATTTCAGACTGTTAAAGAAAGATCTTGGCATTGAGCAGATTGGGATTTCTCAGAAGTTGTTAACACAGCAACCAACTTCTGTGGACTTTGAGGAATTAATGGGTGCAATGCGTAGACTTCAAACTGTGTACGATTTGGACTCCTATGCCATGGCTGAAGGCTTTATAGATGATAAGGATAAGAAGTGAGTAATGCATCATGCACAAATCATGATTAATACATTTTTAAAAATATTTTCAGCATTAGGAACTGGAGTGCTGATGAGTGTCTAATACTCGGTCTGATGTATCTATTCCTAAGAAATTACAATCAATCGGAGCATTGGTTGCAATTGGCTCTCGTTTATTACGAGAATTATCTTAGTCCTGAGGAGCTCAAAATTAAACTTTGGAACTACCCGAATCTGTTGGAATCCCTGGTGGAGGCCAACAAGGGTCTTGGTAATATTCGTCATTAAAATAAAATGTATAAGTTTAATAACACATTTTTATAGGCCGTTATTTGGAAGCTAAAAAGTATGCGAACGAACTGCTTTCCATCAATCCCAATCACACTTACATGTTGACACAGCTGCCCAAGCTGAAATATTTGCAATCGAATCCGCCCAAACTGGCGAAACCGAAGAAGGAATTCCAGCTCCAGAAAGCAATATGCTCCAAACGCTATCGGAGGAAATCAGGAGTCCTTGTATGTCGTTATGTGGATTGGACACCATTCCTGAAACTGGCACCTTTAAAAATGGAGGAGTTGTCTATGGAAACGCATATAAGTATTTTTTACGGAGTCCTAAGACAAAAGGATATTGATGAATTAAAGAATGTATCCAGACCAAAACTTCAACGAATCGAGCACTTATCAGGGAATTGCAGTTGTAAAATCGGAAATCTTTCCAGTTCTTCACATGATGTTGTACGCAAAGTGAATGAATTGATCCTGGATATTACTGGATTTCCATCGAAGGGAAATCAAATGCTAGAAGTCATAAATTATGGTATTGCTGGGAACTACAATCCGGATGACACTGCAAGGCCCAGGAAACAAAACAAAGCAAATGCTTTAATATTTGTAAGTATATTAATTGGTAGATTATAATACTCATTCCATTCTTTTCTCTATAATATTTAGTTGGACAATGCTGAAAGGGGCGGAGAAATAGTTTTCCCTTCTCGTCATCTAAAAGTCAGACCTCGAAAGGGTTCGATGTTAGTTTGGATGAATCTCGAAAGGAGTGTTATTTATCATCAGTGTCCAATTTTAAAGGGAAATATGTGGGGTAAGTGTGCATGTCATTTATTTATTTTTTCTCAAAGCATTTTCATATTTTTCTTTTAGTGGCTAACAAAGTGTTAAACTGACATTTGTACTTCATAATTTATGTACTTTTGAAGTTTCTGAGTTATTACGAATATCTGCAAGATATATTTTTTATTGATATGGGTTTCATACAACGAATACGTACACTTTACGAATTTCAAAATATATTTTCCTACTTACTGAAGTACTTATTAATTTAGAATACAATCTTAAATTGCTAATGGATAAACGCTTAGGTAGTGTAATTTCGAGAACCTTTTGTGTAAAGAGTGTGCGGAAGTTTCATATGTTCATTTAATTTTTAGGATCATTATATTCTTTTCCATGCCATTTTATCTTGATTGGCTTCGGGTGATATATTTCTAAAGCCAACATGTGGTGCTGTCGTACTGGGGCAAACTTTTAATGTGTCTACCATAAACAATTCGAATGGCTCGAGTGCCATATATGTGCGACTGAATTATAATGACGTGACACTTAAACCATAAAAATGGCAAATTTACACTTGTGTTCTGCGATTGGGAGTGTGTCCAATGAATGGATGGATTTATACGACCTCTGCGTGTGTCTGAGCTCTTGGTGCTGATTTTCATGCGGAATCGGATTCTGGGGCCGCAGCTGGCTGCCTTTGTCTTTGTCTGCCTCGATTTTGGTTGCAATCAATTCCCCTTGAGTAAACAAATCACTTAGGGTTCCAGTCTGAGTCGAGTGAGTCGAGATGGCTGACGTATGACTGCCAGACCGTGGAAAATCAAATGTACAAGCATGTGATAATCATATGCGGATTAAAATGCTTTTGCCGAACAATCTTCGGCATTAAAAAGCAATTTATGCTAATAACATCCATTTGACGAGTCGTCAATGTGGCATTTGTTTGCTGTCTTGTTTGCAGGATATCCCTCCTTTCAGACATTCCCTTTATACTCGTACATATACTCGCATTCGTATGTTGTAATCCCAACCTTAATCACATATAAGGCCTGGCAAAAATTAATTTTCATCTTTGGCTTTTGATTGCCTTTCATGTTTTGCACCGCTCTATTTGGATTTGATTTCCACATTTTCATTCATATGTACGTGTATTAAAATGTATACGTTCGCATGGATGGCTTACTATATCCCATCCGTTGATCTGCGCCACTGCACGCAATCTGTATTCATGAAAACGAAGCTGAAGGATTCCCGTGGTTGGCTGGACTCGTTGTCCATTTGGCTATTGTGGAAAATGAAAAAGATTTCCGTATTACAATTGACACCGTATACAGTATGATGCAGTATGTGCCTGAAAACCTCTTTGGTTTCGGCTCTAGCAGAAAGCTGAAATAAAAATCAGCAGAAAAATCGCTTTTTAACATCATTTCTGTAGCATATTCCATAACTTTTAAGCAACTTACACAAAAAAGCTGAATTGAATCTCTTGATGTAAATCAATGAAAGGTTTGTTCACTGAGAACTCACTTATTGAAATCCCGAACAATTGTCCTGACCCCCCAGCAATCCAGACAAAATAATCATTTGAATTCGAGCATTTCAAGGTTAAGCACTGCCAAGTCTGCCAAGTCGCGATTGATGTTAAACCTTATCTTCTCCGTCATTCATACGATTCACATACGATTCCCTCCTCCAACAGTCCATTGTTCCTTCGCTGTCAGGCAGAAGAACCTGGAAGATTGGGACCTGGCTCCTTGCTTAAATGATTATTTTTATATTAAAGCAGGAGCTGCTTTGCTGGCCGAAATTCCTTTGCGTTTGGAACTAACACTGAGCAGTATTTCTGATACTTTTCAAAAACAATTCCCTTATGAATTGACAAATGGTAGAGGAAGCTTTCTTAACGGAAGTCAGATTGTTATGTGATCTATTTAATAAATTGAAAACACTTTTCCTGCATTTACTCACGATTTTAAGACTGTTTTTCCAGTGCACAATATCGCAGAGTGTGCGGTAAGCATTTATTGTGTAGGAAAACTGTTTTCATTGTGTATAACAATTGATTTCGATTTCAACTGTGGATGTGATTTCGCCTTTGAATGGCAACTGAGAAACGAGTATGTGAAAATGGAAATAGAATGAAATACTCGCCCCATCGTCTGGGTGGTGCCACTACTCATCTGGAGTCTGCATTTTGCGCGGCGCTTCATTTACTTTATATCTTTTGTCTGCTCCTTATGTGCACATGGCAACAATTTGAATGAGCTGGTGTAGTCGTATTTGCCTCTTTTTGGGGTAGCTGCATTTTTATGTTTCTACATCAAATGTTTCTGACTGTTCTATTATTTATTGTATGGCTACTTGATGAACATTTTGCCGAAAACGTTTTATGGGCTCGTGGGCAATAGGTCTGCGATTCGAAGAAGGCCTCCTTTTTCCCTCCTCAAACGGACTATCAATCATTATGCCGTGCACTTGAAATAATAACCGACTTACAGTTAATAAAATACTCCACTCGTTGGTGTTTGAACACAAAGGAATTATTTATAATGCGACGGCCTATTTGGAACCCGTATTAGTGATTGCACCATTAAATTCTTTATATTATGGCTACCGCTGAAAGAAATAGGAGACAATTTCGCCAGGTGCACATTTCGCAGATATTTATGAAGTGTCTACAAAGTGTTTTAGCCTCCGGTCCCGACCAAATCCACTTGTCACAACCTGTTGGTCCGTCGTTTATTGCACACTGGCTGCTCAAAATGGCGGAACTAATGTGCCGCCGTATTTGAATTATTATTACAAGGTTTTGGGATCGGAGAGTGACGGCTATAATGAGTTCCACACAAAGTGTAAGAAATAGCCGCGTGTAAATTGCGTATGATTTATATACTTTGCTTTGGCCGGCGATTTTGACGAGGGACGGCATGTCATTTCACTTTGTAATTTATAACCGAAACATAAACGAGAACGAAAAATCGATTTGCGATATGCGATCCGACAGTCTAGGCGTTGTGAGAAATGGCTTAAAGCTTAAGTCCTCTATGGCCGACCATATTCAGCACTTGCTGTTCTGCCGATGGCCGTCTGGGCTATCAAAACAATGACCGAAGTCTGGCCGAAAGGCGGTTGGGGGGTTTTTTAAGACGGCTCTGAATACCCTTACAAATCAGTTTATGTGGACGCCAAAAACAAGCCCATATTCAAGCCCGCCTCGTTTAAATCGGACACGTATATAATATATCTCAGCTTCTGCAAATTTGCCGTGTAAAGTATTGGACTTCGGGCGATAATTTAGTTGTTTGTCTTTGCCACTGCTCCCTGAATTATGGATGCCCCTTGAAACGCATTCCTATCCTGGTGAGTCCCGGACTTCTTGCTGCGTGCTGAATTTAAAATGGGACCGCATTCCTGGGACGCTTGTTGTGTGCCTCGTTGGTTATCCAATCGACATCGGTCGTCGTCCTGGAGTACTTCCAGACCAATTTGCAGGATGCCCCGTCTGGCATTGTGTCCTGTGTCCTGTGTACTCACGCGCCGTTCTAATTTTCCACATAATCCAATTTTCACGTGTTGACTTACGTGTTGTGACACTTGAGTTTGGTCCTTGGGGAAATGTATTCTGGGGATGCCCTGCCCTGACCAATAGTAAATGTTGAGAGCAGTCCTGTAACATTCAGAAACATTTAAAGATTTTAAATACAAATAATATTGGTAGATGATATTCTAGGAAAAAATAAGAATTTTGTGAGTTCTACTTTAAAAGTAGGTACGTTCAGAATATAGAATATTATTATTCTAGTGTCTTTGGTACGTTGTACACATCAGCTAATGTCTGTCTAATCATTATATACCTTTTATATGGTTAAATTACAGTCTCCGTATATTTTCGAAAAATAATATGTTTTTGCTGTTATAGTATTTAGCATAATCATATATTTAACAATTATGTCCAAAACCGTTTTACACAAATATTTTATACAATTACAGTGCCTTAAAAACCGTTGGCCAATTAGAATGGAATTTCATTCGGTTTTTGATTATTCCATCTTTCTGGACATTTTTTGTTGGCTCGTTGCCACGCGAATATTATTGCAATAAGTGGCTTGCGGTGCGCTGTGTTAGTAATTCGAGAAAAGTTTTTTGTTTAACTTTTTTGCTCTTTTTTTTATGGAAAGCAGCAAAGGTAATATAAAAACTGTTCACAGATTATTGGCAAAGCCACTCCGTCACTTAAACAAGTGAAACAGCCCTAAAGCGTTATTGCTTACAACTTTAAGCCAAAACTTAATTGTTCTGTAATGACTACGATACGTATTGTGAAGTTATATTATAGGATAATCATATAATACTGTAACAGGTTGTCAGCATGCTAGCGAGATCTAAGATTATTGGAAATACCTAGTAAACCATATTAAATTTATGACCGCCCAGCTGCTGTTATACTCAATTATCACAACTTAAAGGCCCATAATTATATGACGGATTAGGTAAAGGAAAAATCCCCATGCAGAGGTTTTCCTACCTGCACGGACTACCTGTTACCCTGTAGCACTAGTTAATAATTAGAGTATATAAGCCAGGTCGCCAAAGAGAAGCACATCAGTCAGCAACTTAATCCTGTCACAGACACATCTCAGTGCTTCTGGAGCAAGTTCAAAGAGTAATCATCCATCGGTCAATACTGCCACAGAGCTATATCCACCATCACTTCATCTTCCGTTCTCAAACCAGAGTCCCTTATCCCAATCATGTTCGACGAGCCCATCTCCAGCTTCGTGTTCACCAACGAGCAGACCACGCAGACCTTCCACCACCAGTGGTTTTCCCAGGGCCAGTTACACGAATGTGCCACCTGCTACAGCTCCATCGACGCAGATGAGCCGCCCTCCCAGCATTGGCTGCGCGGAGGAGAAGCTTCACAGGGCCTCCAGCTCACAAAGCAGCAGCAGGCCGTCCTGGACATTATCGAGGCCCGCCAGATCGAGACCTTCTTCTTCTGCGACGAGAGCTCCAAGGACAAGCTGGAACACTTCATGGGGGAGACCTGTGCAAGAGGGATCCCCGAGCTTCTCCGCTGGATGTTCCAGAACAACACCGTGGCCGTGGAGTTCAATCTGGCCTGCTATGTGAACGCCATGGACCAGGTGCTGATCTTCCAGAGCGGCTCGCTGAGGGTGGACCACCACTACGACGTAGACGAATCCGTGGGCGTGGTCTACGAGATGCTGATGCAGAGGATCGAAAACTACCTCAACTGCAGCAGCGAGTACGGAATGTCAGA